AGAGGACGAGTAAACAACTCTATATCTACTGACTCAACATCTCTAGTGTCAGAGTGTTGCTGTGTAGTTGTGTGTGTGTGTGTGCGGATGTGTATTACCGTCCATGGACGAGACCGTACAGCTCCACTCTCATGCGACGGATGGTCAACAGCTTGTTGACGAGGGATCAGACGAGACGTAGCGCGTAGAATGATGGGCGGTAGTGAAGGTCGTTGATGACGGAGGGTAGGCTTTTTTGTTGCCCTCCATCACCTGGTGACAAACAACAGTGTGAGAAACAAACGACAGGCCTTCTGAGCAACGGGTCAGACGTCAGGTCTCATTTTAAAGTGATGAAAAAGCTTTCCCCCAACTGGAGTTCAGCCAGTCCGACCCTGACAAGTGAATTTGTTCTTTTGCCTGATAATTTATTATCTACATAAACACCCTTCCCCGAGCGAGGGTTTTACTGAAGACAAAAAAAACAACAAACTTGGTAGAAGCAAGTTCTCTACAAAAACAGAGAATATTAGTACAATATTAGTTACATATTTATATACATATGCCACCAACATTTCTTCGAAAAAACATGTTTTTGAAATTTTTTTGGTAAAATTTTTTTTTTTTTTCATAAAAATATTTTGGTGAATTTATTTATATTTTATTCTTATTTATTAAAAACACAGAAAAAACATTTTTATAAAAAAAAAAAAATTGTGCAATAAAAAATATATAAAATTTTAATAAACAAAAAATTTTTCAAAAAAATTTCATTAAACAATTATCTATAATTCATTTCTTTATTTATCCCGCCGAAGACAAAAAAAACTCCCTCCTTTCGGGGGCTGTTTATACAGATTGAAAAAAAAGAAACGTAGGAAAACAAATCCTGCTTTTAGTATTGACTTCATATTTATTAAAATACATTAGACTCACATAGTTATCGTATTTCGCCTAAACTGCGTCTCCTGAATTGGACCGAGCAATATGTTGCTCTAACATAAATGAATTCATGTCTTAGAATAACAAAATGTTCTGGGTAAAGTTATTCTGAGGGAGCTTCCCTGGAGGAAACAGTTTTCAGTCAGATAAAAAACATGACCCACTGTTAAACTGTGTCCTAACGGCCGTGCCGTTGGCAGCTTGGAAGACTAAACAGGAAGCTCCTGTGTAAATGTCATTTCCTGTGATATGAGTGTGAATGACCAGAAGCAGCTCAGAAGAAAATAAGCATACATTTTCTTTTTCCCTTCCTTCTTTCTTCTCATTCTTTTCTTTCTTATCGCTCCATTCACGTTTCCTCTTGCAGTTTTCTTCCATTCTTCCTGCTATCAGACCACTTTTCCTTGCCCCCCCCCCCACCAGCTGGTCCTTGCCCCTCTGTGGTGAGGCGTCAGGGTCACTCACTGTGATTTCCCTGCCGATCCTCACAGGGCTTCCACAGGCAGCCCGTCCCTGCTGTTAGTGAGGACGCTCGGGCGAACTCGTTCCCGGAGTTTCTGGCTATCGTCCCTGAAGTCACCGACACCGTCGGGAAGGTGAGGCGGCCCAGGTCCACCTGAGAAACACACCAATCAGAAGCTGGTCTGTCAATCATGTGACACACCAGGAACCAGGACCAGGTTTCACTTTCATTGCTTAAATGATCATTACTTTTTACATTTTCACTTCACGTCTATGATTTCAGTTTCTCCATTTTTAATTCAACATTTCTTCTTGTGTATTAACGAAAGCGTCTTTTTTTTGTTGCAGGTTGACACTCTGGCCGACACCTTCAAGTGCTTTTATACCAAACTAACAAGAGATTAAATTGTCTGACTGTAAATGTCCTGCAGTAAATACTTAATCTTGGTTGGACGGCAAACCCAAATTCAAAAAACTTCTTACTGACGATGTAACTTCCAGTATCATATTATAGACACAGTTTACTTGTTTATGGTTGAATTCACATCTGATGTGAGATTTTAAATCTCTGATTCTCTGTTGTTATTTTGATTTTTCTCTTCTGTTCTCGGTCTCACGTGTTCATTGAGATCTTGGTTCAATGTGATTCCTGATTAAATGAGTAAATAAAGTGATTAAAAATTAAAATTGTGGACAGAAACACTGAGGCTTTAACTTTGGCAGTCCCTTTGTTTGAATGTTTATGTTTGAATAAAGAGAGAACACTGACATGATCAAAGTTAAATTTAAAAATAAATGAAGATGCGATGATTGAAGAATCCACAGTCAGTGAAAACTTTTCTAATCAGACTGATTGAGGATTTTTTTCCGATTGAGAGAAAATGACCTTCAACCAGCTCCTCCCCCTCTTACATCCTGTTGCAGTGTTTTAAATATAAACTTATTTAGCAGCACAGGTCAGCCCGCCTAGTGAACGCTCCTGTTACACTGACTGAAGCAGGATCACGTTCCTCCTGATTAACCCCGACGCCTCCTGACGGAGCAGGTGACAGGACACGAACACACACCTGGCAGGTACTGACCTGTCCGAAGGCTCCTGCTGTCCCTCAGACCACCAGGCGCCTCCCCCTCCTCACGGTTCAGCGCTGCACACACACACACACACACACACCACACACACACAACCACAACACACACACACACACAGACACACACCACACACCACACAGACACACACACACACACACAGACACACAGACAACAGGCACACACACAGACACACACACACACACACAGACACACAGACACTACACCCACACACACACACACACACACACAGACACACACACACACAGACACACACACAGACACACAGACACGACACACACAACACAGGACACCATTACACACACAACACACCAAACACCACAACCACCCACACACACACACACAACACAACACACACACACACACACACCAGTCAATATAGATGTTCAACATTTATCATTTTAAAGTCTTAAGTACAACTCTGATTGTTCTCTACATGTTCCAAGTCATGAAATCTGTAACTTCACTCACGTGACGTTTTTAGATGTCGTGAGTGAATATAAATAATATAATATAATATAATATAATATAATATAATATAATTACATATAATATAATATAATATAATTAACATTAAACCAGCATCAACACTTGACAAGCTGTCGAGGTTTAATTTGTTGAGTTCATTTTTAAAATGATCTTGATCTAGATGTTTCGCATCATTAATATACTTGATAATAAACTACAGATAATTAAGGAAATAATTAAAATAAACTTATTAACATAGCACTATCTTAACGAGGTCACCTGGTGATTTACAGAAAAGAAAAAGAGAAAAACAATGCATCATAAAACAGAAGGACGTTGTTTTTGGGGGAAAATAATACAGATGTCTGTTTCAACACAACATTTTCAAACATTCATGAAGCTTTTCCAGAACAGAGGTTGTAGGAGGAGTCTGATAAAGACGTAAAGCTGTTTCCTGTCGATCCACAGTCTCTAACCTTCAGTCACCAGAACCGTTCCCGGAGCAACCAGCCCCCCCCCTCCCCCCCCCCGTTAAAACGCCTCGCATAAAGTGCATTACAACAGTCGAGGGCACAGAGAGAATAAAAGATGATTTATTATGTATGTGTTTATAATATATATACATTATTATAATTTAATAATATTATTATCTATTGTTTTATGTCAACTTTATTAAGATCTTTACCAGCAACAATGAGAAAGAAATCAATCATATCAATAGAGAAATGTTTAATTGATGTGATACGATGATGTCACTGACCTGGCGTATGTGGTCCCGTGGTCTCGTACCATTGGCTGAGCCTGTTGATGTCATCATTTGTGATCGATCCATTCTCCATGCCCAACATAGCGACCAATGTGCCTGTTTAAAACACACACACACACACACACACACACACAGTTCTTCACTTTTCCAAATACTTATAGAGTTAAATTTAGATCAGTTTAGAAGGTGGTGTGTTGTGTGTGTGTGTGGTGTGTGTGTGTGTGTACCGGGGTCGATCTGTCCGGAGATAGGTGCTTGTGGCTGAGATCGCAGCAGGAAGAGGTGCATGATGGTCCGCCGATCACCCAACACAACACGACATCTCTTGAGGAGAGAGAGAGAGATGTGAAGATGATGTCACTTCCTGTCATTATGACCCTGCAGGAAAGAGGAAGTTTGAACAATCCTTTCCACTGATACAGTAAAAACTTGTTTATTGCTTCATTAGATGGAAAGAACCAACCATGAGTTCTGTGGAGAAACCAACACACACACACACACACACACACACACAC